ACTTTAAATTAAATAAAACTAACAACACATTATGTTCTGCTTTATTTTCTTTAAAGAAGTGAGGAGTAGGGAGACGAAAAACTGTGTTTTTTTGATACCGAGACTGGACGAGTAGCTCTCGGCAAACTGCCGACTTCAAAAGTAGCTCTTGGTTCAAAAAAGGTTGGGCACCCCTGGTTTAGGGTAAGGAGTCATAGTCCATGGGCTAGGGTGGGTCACTGTGCCCATCAAGAACACCATGTTTGAACATAAGCGTGTCCATAAGTGCACGTAGCACCAGGACACGTTAGGTTAAAGATTGATGACTGATTTTATAGTTAACTCATCTCTTCTATGTTGGACACCTGAGTGCAGAGAGGATCTGAGCTGTGAACTGATCACCTGGTAGTGAGGTGAGTGTATGGGAGTGAGTCTGTTGTCACATTCAGTCTCTATACAAGCGATGTGAAAGAGTCTGTCTCTCTCATGTGTCAGTAGACATCGGGACTCAGAATGAATCATTTTTGTGTTCTGAGTGTTTCTCCTCAGTAACCTGTGTTCACTGAGTGACAGGAGGTACTGGTTACACACTCACTGCTGGCTGCGTGTCGGCCAAACACAGCTCAAAGTCCAACAGAACCTCAGGCTCCACTCTGAGCTCCGAACACAGAACCTTCACCAGTGCCGGGTGGTGCTTCTCTGCCTAAACAAAACAGCACCATCAGTTTTTCACCTCACCATATAAACATGAGACAAACCAAACCTTCCACAATAAAGGACTCATGAGTCACTCTAACAACTGTCAGAGTTAAATGTGACATGGTGTCAAAACAGTCTGTTACAGGAATTTTATCAGTTCTAGAACCAAATATAAATAAAACGAGACAAAATACATTTTTAAATCATGTTTAACCTCTGGTAACAGGAATAAATGGAAAGAAAATATGAAGCTGTGATGTTTAACATGATTTTTGTTGTTGTTTTTACCGTGTTGGTAGCGCAGGAAGCATCACCAGATGAAGAACAGCCCGCCTCCAGCTCCTCCTGAATGGCCGTGGCCAAGATGGGAACTCTGGCAGAAACATGGAAACACAACGAAACCATCAGAACTAAGTGTTTCAAGCTCTGCTTGGATCAAACCCCAAGGAAAAAAGATGGGTGGTCTTTAGCAAACATTTTTAAAAGTTTTAATAGTCTCAGCAATCTGCGCATGTAGAGGTAAACTAGTCCACCAGTTTGAAGCAGTTTTCACGATTTTAATACCTGTTAAAAGACAAGCTGTTGCATTCTGGACCATTGAAGTGATTGAGAGATGAGCTATCTAAACCAGTAGTTCTCAAACTGTGGGGTGTGCCTCTCTAGGGGAGCCCAGGCCCCTGCAGGGGAGCATGGAGATGGGTCAACATCGCTCTGTGTATTTTCTCTGATCCTGAGGCAGGAAAATGTTCTAATGCCTCATTGGATCTCAAACCTCTTTTAGGGATGCACAGATTAATATATCAATGAATATATTCATATATCTGTGTGGGGGTGTGGGTGTTACTGGGTCAAAAACAAACATGATAGTGTTCGCTGCTGTGAACAATAAGTTAACACCAGAACAACAATAGAGCTGACATAAAAGCATGACAACCACACACCCACCATCCATCCATCCATCCATGGGGGTAACAGGGAGGTACAGACATCTCTTCTCTTTTTAAAACAGCCAACTTTCCTGTGAGGATTAAGCTTGGGTTATACTTCAATAAGATGTGGGACAGCGGGTCAGTGATTGTGTCATTTTGGATGTTTTTTTTCCTGAGTATAAAGAGGCTGAAGACGTGGCAGGCCATAAATTACAATTCCTCCCTCTGCCCTCCCACAGCTCATTTAAGTATATAAACAACAATAACGATGACTGAATATTGTGTTTTTTTAATCACTCAATGATCAGTGTTTTGTTGGGTGAACAGTCCACAGAGGAAAAGCTTTGTGGTGATGAAAAAAGCTGTGTAAATCAGCAGCATCATTTTGCTGAAAATGATCTGCTCTCTGAAAACAGTTGTTAAACTAGATACCACATAGTGGTAACATAATGACCCCCGCACACACAAATGCACCAGGACTCAGAAGTCTTTATTCTTAATAAATGTCATGCTACTAGATGCATCCCAAAATTGTATTGCTTGTAGTGGAAAATCTGAAGCTCCTATGTTGAACAGTTTTTGAGTTATAAGCATTTTTGTATGTCCAGACACCCCCTCTTTGAAAGGAGCCCCCTACTCAAATATGGGGTCTATCGTAAAACTGTTGGCTGGCGCAGTGTAGGTCAG